GATCATCTACTGAGTCTATGGTTATCCACAAAATACTTTGAGGGAAGAAATCAGAATTATCTTTATGATATTGTTTTCTCATTTTTGAAAAAACAAAGTTTACAGGAATAGTTTTATACTAAAATGTATTAGTTTTCATATTAACACAAAATTTCTAAAACGTATCATGTTGATAAAATGAATCAATGTAAAAGAAAAAATGTACAATGTAGTCATTTGTATATCATGTTTATTTCAAATTTTTGACAAAATTTGAAAGCATTAAATTCTAGAGTGTAAAAGAGTGAGCTAGTGCCTTTTACAACACATACATCATTGTCTTTCCCTTATTCTCTCTTGTGTTAAAGAGAGAGAGGGAGAAGGAACATTTTCTTGAACTTAGCAAGAGGTATTCCCATGAACATTCCAATGAGAATTTTCTAATACAGTTGTCAAACCAGAATTTCTTCACATATCATAAGAAAGTTTAACCTTATGAAAATTCTTAAGAAATGCATACCTTAACTCAAAGTGGGTCATAATCTTAACAAGTATTTTATTTTACATCCACGAATGCAGTGCTTCTGTAAGCCCACAATGCCCATATACAAGACAGTGGTGTAAGTATCATGCTTAACACCTCATATAACATTTTAGGAGATCTTCCTTTGCAAGTCTCTGACTCCAAAGACAGACATACTTTTTGTGGATTTCTAAACTCAGCCAATATTGTTGGGAAAATATTCACTTCTGTACACCAACAATAATAGTTAACACTTTATTAAGTGCTTACCATGTGCTAAACACTCCACATGCATCATATTATTTGATTTTCATAATCACCCTGTGAAGTAGACACTACTGTGATTTCCATTTTGCAGGTGAGGTTTACCAAGGTTAAGTATCTTGCCCAAGGTCACACAGCTGGTAAGTAGCATGGCCAGGATTTAAACCTGACAGTTCATCTACAGAGCCTCAGACTGTATTCTAACCAGGCTTTGCACATGAATCTCTTGAAGTATCACTTTTATGTGACTCGACTTTCTTGTGCCCAACAGATTCAACAGCTTGTAACCATTAGAAAAATAAAAGCACACAGAAAAGCAAATCAAATAGATATGAAATAAAAACAGTGTTTTAAAATACCTCTTTCAATCTCATGATCAGTAAGAATGAGAATAAAATTAACTCCTCAGTTAGATGTGTTTTTCTTTGTTTAAAACCTGGAAGGCACCCTAACTGCCTTACTAATTCTGACCTCATCAACGTTATATAAGGTTGGGTCACATAGAACAAATGAAAATGAGACTGGCCTCCTCCCTTTCTACTAGAAATAATAGCAGCATTTAAATATGCTGCGGCTACTTCTAGTAAAGTTTTTAAACCCCCATCCCTCGAAAAGAGTGTATTTAAGTACAGAAAGAAAGAAAATAAAACAATCAGAAAATAATTATAGGCATACCCTTTTCAATAAAAGCAATTTTGTAAATTTTATTTAAAGATCTTGTCACTTTTGTCCAATCACGAATCATTTCAGGTAAGCCATCAACAGGAACAATTCCATAATAATGAATTGTTCCATTTTTACGATTCAGCGGAATATGTAGAGCTTCTGCATTTACCTTAAAGGATTTTTTAAAAAGCACATGACTGTTACTAGATATGATTAGGTATTTCATGACACGGGAAGTAATTATTTGACCCAACTGGCAGTTTTAGCCGACTTTAGAAAGCTTGCCTCTCTCTGTGGTCAGGCGCTCATTGCTAAGAGCAAACGGATGAGCTTCAAAGCATTGGTTTGGACCATTGGAAACAGATAATCAACAGATGACACAGAGAAACGTGCCCCTCTTCGGGTTTTTTTTGTTGTTTTTTTTTTTTCGTTCCAGTTCTCCTTGTCAAAGGATGATTGATATGTGTGGAGCAGCCCTTCAAACGCCAGCCACTGCCTGAGGCACTTCCTATAATCAAAGCACACGCCCACCCAGAGCTAATTAGACATTAGATTAGTGTCAACTGATTGATTTAAAGCAGCCGGCCCTTCTTCCCCACCCCTCCCCTCTCCCAGCACAGTTGAGGATGGGGCTGGTCTCCAAAATGGCTCTCTCACCAGACAGGCAAATTATTCATGGAAGCTCCAGGAAGGAAGCCTAGAGATAATACAATGTGGCTAAAACACAGCCAGAAGAACGTTTCTAGAAGGAAAAGTGAGAGGGAGGAGAGAGAGAAGGAGGAACAGACAGAGAAAAAAAGAGAATGAATCATGTTTCTGAGAGCAATGAAACCCCTCGGTCCAATTTGTTAAGTTAGAGTGTTTGTGATGTTTGAAAGAAAATTATTTGCAATTTAACCTAGGAAAGTTCTGAGTACATTTGGCTACAATTTAGATACCATTTTTCAAAGTCTTTTCCCTTCATTTTTTTCCCCCTTTATAAATATATGAGCCGGGAACATTCAAAGTTGTCTTAATGGATTAAGCAGAGACAAGGCTGCAAGGAGCAAATTAAAAATGAAATAGTTACAGCTGTTGGACCTGGCATTGGGCAGAGAGGGGTAAAAAAGATTTCTCTTCTTACAGGATAAGGGAGATCTCAGAAAACACCGAGCCCTTGCAGAGTTCAGATGCGCATGCCTGCAAAACAGTGATTCCTCGACTTCTTAGCAACTGCACAGCTCAACTATGCTTACTCTGTAGAGGAGCCCAAAGAGCTGTAGTTCAGCTAAAAAGTGAGCCCATTCCCAGAAGAGACCACCAGAGTAGGGGGCAGCCAGGGGCCAGTTTTAGACTTTTCATTTGCAGATTAAAGGCCTTTTCCACTTGTCACGTCCTGCTCCTATTGCACTCTGGGGTCAGGACTGATCCAACACAAACACACCTCTGGAATTATTTCTGTGAATATGGGACCCTGAGAAGTGCTGTAATGGCCCCAGAAACGTGTAAGACAGTACTCGTTAATGGAACTCCAAAAGTCTTCACGGAAGGACGCTTTCTCATGTCGTGGATGGGGGAGGGCTGGAGCAAAGGAAGAGGGGACAGCTAATGATTTGGGGGGAGGCAGGTAGAAGGTGAGAAGAACGGCAATGGCCAAGCAAGTGAAATGACATTCCAGTTAGCCATGACGTTTGATACTTTTAATGTCTCTATAGCTTTCAAGGCTGTATATATTATTTCACTGATTTTCTGCAAAATGCCTGGACGATAGATAGGGCATGTGTCATTTTGAACCTACAGATTGGATATTCCGCCCATTACAGATGAAACGATTAAGGTAAGTAATTTTGCCCTCACATTAGTAGGGAAAGTCAGTGAACTGGTACAAGATAAGTCTTACCAATGTGTCGTACTCCTTCCAACCTTCTGTCTTAATGGCATTTCATATATACATATAGTTCTTATTATTTTAATATTTAGATACCCAGTCCATTTTCATGCATTCTAAGACTTGAAGACCTACCCCTCTTAGCTCGAGAAATGAACCAGACCATAAGCCAGAAATCTAGAAGGTCATTAGGGAGGATGTAAGAATCCAGAAGAGGAAATGCTGAATCCTTGATTAAATACAGGAGTAATAACTCAGATTTTTATTCTATGAGAGGACTAAAGACCTAAGCCAGCTTCCGACTGGTTCCCACCAAACAGTAAAGATGCAGGAAAGTGGGCATTGAAAATTGAACACTGCACTCTAAAATATGTGAAAACCGGCGGAAGTTTCTGGAATCCAAAATGCAATCAGGCACCAGAACAGAATGGAATTATTGTTTTATATTTCTTGTGTATGGGTCTTAGCATCATAATGACAGCTTTCAAGGACTACTTTAGGTTGAAATATGAAGCCACTAGTGCCAAGAGTGGGTAAAGTCTGGACAATTCCATCCACGTCACTGTTTTCCCCTGGCTCTCTTGTCTCCCTGTGGAGACAGGAATTCAGAGAACACAATCAGAGAGCCAAAAGGGGTGAGGCATACGGGAGAGTCCTCCAAATGCCGATTCGGCAAATTTTAACTTTTGCAGCTATAAACCTTTCAATACCTAAAAATAAATCCTTCAGTTTTATATGAGATTTTGGTTCCTGCAGCTGTAGATTTATGCAGTGTGCTAAGGCCAGGCCAGAAGAAGTTAACACAAGCGATGTGACAGAGTACGGATGTTATTCAGCTTCTCACCACAGTCTTGCTCACTTAGGAACTTTCCAAATGTCATGCATAGTCCCCCTCATTAATTAGCTGCTAAAGCAGCTGATCTTCTGCCATGGATGTGTGTCTCCAGCTGCTCGCCTTCGGCTTGTGAGACACAGAAAGCAATGTACTTCCTTGCCCCTGGCCTGGATCTGAGACTGTCAGACAGGCAAATCACCACAGGCATCACTGGGGCAGACTGATCTGTTCATTGCTGGTCTCCCCTCTTTGTGTGCCAAGTTATGTGCCTTGGTTGCTAGTGAGAAATGGATTACTAAAACATAATGTGCTTCAGGAGCCAACTATATTACCTAGGAAAATTGTTAAGACATGTCAACCACATAAACAGCCAGTAGGTTTTGACAGTAAGACCGTGTGCAAGACAACAGACCTATTACTATATTGCCTTTATTGACATTCTTAAAAATAAACTATAATTTATGAAAATTATAATGAATCACGCTCTGTGCTAGTTTTCTTACAAATATCTTAGTTAATCCTCATAATGACTGTAAGGTAGATAATACTGACTTCACTCCACAAAGAAACTAAGGATCGGAGAGGTTAGATGCCTTACCTGAAAATCATCCAGGTATACGGTGAGGAACCCTGTCTCCTTCCTCCTCGACATCATATGATGAACTTAGAGGAGAATGGTAATTCCTTCAAAAAATAGCAACATGTAAAAAAGAAAGAGGAGACTATCCTCTAGCTAAAATTATTGGGAGAGACCCATATTGTTGCTCTTCCATGAAAACCGTGGAGCATCACCTGTATGTGAGAAGACTGGGATTCGTTAACAGTGACTGAGACCGTGATTTTTTATGTAATTTTAATTTTGCCAGAGTTTTACCTGTGTGAGTTCTACTTCTGGTCCACGCTCTCAAAAGTGGGACAAAAATGCATGACACAGTGGTTTTGAAGATACTGGACATCAGTCAGTGAAGGACAGTGAATCCCAAGAGAAGGGAAACAACAAGGTGAGTCCTGTGGTTTACTCATCTTACTGACCAGGCGCCCTGCAGGGAGGGGTAGCCAGGTGGAGCTTAGCATTCTCCTGGAGCTGAGGAGTCAGAAGTGGTTGGTGGGGGAAGGGGGGGTCTGTCAGGGCAGCTAGAGCTTCCAGAGCAGAGCCCTTAAAAGAATAGCAATGTACGGAGCAGAGAGCTCCAGGGATTAAAAGTCTTTCACTGTTCAGTGAATACACTGGGGAAAACTACCCGAGGCTGAGGAAAGAAACACCTACAAGGGTTAGGAGGAACAATTTCTAGAGCTCATCTGGGGCCTTTTCCCACCAGCTGGAAAGAAAACCTCACGGTTCATGAGTCCTCAGGTAGAGTAAGTAGGGCAAGATCCACCCTGACCCACATGCTGCTTTGTTCTTGCCTAACAAAACCTAAAAGCATGACCCATAAAAACCTAACTGTTCCAAATGACTGTCCCAGAACATTTTCTTGTATTAGCTCTCTGATAATTTCTTCTCCTCAACATCTCTTTGGATAGTTGAGTAGCTTTGTGAGAATAAATCTGCTACCAGGATATACTTGCAGAAAACTTGTCACCACAGCAGAGGTCCAGAAACTTGTCCCATGTTTTTCATCTACAGCATAAGCATTACTCTTGACTCCCAGTTCCTTTTAGTATTTTCCAGAAAGTAACCCCCCTGCCTCCTGTTGGGATAGGGGTAAGAATGTGGTAAGAGAAGGTTGGGAGCCAGATTTTAGTTTTTTACACCTTATCCTTCATGCCTGCCTTGCTGAATGCCCCCCCTTGGTGCCAAGTACCTGAAATTTACTGTGTTTTATTAGCACAAATCAGCTCATTTTTGATTAATATCTTCATTTACAGGCATATGGTTTTCAGCTCCCTACTCTCTGTTATGTCATTTACCAAACTGGTTACCCACTTTCTATTAACCTAACTTTTAAAGAAATTTCTAGTTCATTGTGTTTGCCTTTCTTACCTTTTTTATCTGGAACTTCCTTTGAAATTATTTTACTGCCATGTGAGCAGGGCTTTAAAAGAAACACATGTATGTTGTATTACACATATTCAAATGCATGTTCAGACAGCGTTTAGCCAGAAGTTCCTGAGAATTCTTCCTAAACTGTGCACAAGCAGCCCACACTGAAATCTGATGAACTGGGCTCCCCCCTTGCTTTTCTGTTTACTATCTCATTCTACCCATAAGAAAGCTCAGGTGTAAAATGATTCCAGAAGATATTCAAAGTCACAAAAATCATACTTCTGTCTCAGAGCTGTTACGAGAATTAAATGAGGTAAATCACTTAGCATGGTTATAGTCTTAATCATCGTCAAGTAGAAAAAGTTGTTTTTCATGACTATACATCTGGTCCTTGTTCACACTCCGGATTCTGAATGCAGTATAGGTAGGTCTGTAGGAGAATGGAAAAGATAGAAAGGCACATGAAGGGATAGGACGCAATATGCTCAACCAGGGAATGATGGCATCCCAGAGGAAGTGACAAAAGGATTATTTTATTAGCTCAGTTGTAGGGCTTAACGTTTGTTTGATTTTTGGATTTTATTTTTTTTTTAAATTTTGTAAGCAGCTACAAAACCAAAATATGTTGGTAGTACAATGACAAACTAGTAACTCTTTCAGTAGAGTAGGCTGAATCATTCCTTATAATGTGAGAAAAATAAGGTATAAAACTTTCAGTAATCTCTTGGTCAAGTATCTTTAGCATACTAATGCTACATTCAATTGTATTTTCTGAAATCCCTTAATCTGTTACTTTTCTATTTCATTTTCTTGTGTTTCCAAGTAACTTCTTAAAGTTCCTGCCTCCAGCTATGAAGGCAGGAATAACTAGTACCAGACTAGCCCTCCTGCAATAAACAACTAAGAAAGTGGACAAAAGGGGTGCCTGGGTGGCTCAGTCGTTAAGCATCGACCTTCAGCTCAGGTCATGATCCCAGGGTCCTGGAATCCAGCCCCACACCAGGCTCCCTGCTCAGCGGGAAGCCTGCTTCTCCCTCTCCCACTCCCCCCGCTTGTATTCCTGCTCTCACTTTCTCTCTCTGTCAAATAAATAAATAAAATCTTTTAAAAAAAAAGAAAGAAAGAAAGTGGACAAAATATGTGAAACAACAGCCTTTAGACACTGGGCAACAGGTATTACAAGACTCTGATCCCTGCAAGAAGGGAAACAAATAAGGTGAGCCTTGTGATCACCCTGGCTTTCTGCCCAGAGGCAATTATGGAATCATGGTGTAATAAGAGAAGAAAAGCAGGACCCAAGGGTCTCCTTGAGCCAAAAAGACAAAGATCAGAGTTGGGAGAGGCTGAGGTGGTTGAAATTTGTGCTGCTGAGTACCAGAAAGGAGGTATCTACAACAGAAAGAGTCTCAGAAATCTGCACAAGGGTCTGCTCATGTCTTTGGCTACGTGTGCTTAGAGGAAGACTCCACAAGGCTGACCAAGGAACGATGAACAGAGATAAGACAACTTATGGAAAGCTCTCTGGAGGAAAATTATTGCGTTACATAGATCTGAGGAAAGAGTTTTATCCAAAATATATAAAGAACACTTACAACTCAGTAATAAGACACACACACACCAATGGAAAATGGGCAAGTTATTTGAGTAGCCACTTCACAGAAGAAGCATGAATGACTGATAAGCATATATAAGCATATATAAAAGTGCTTATTAGAAACCATGGAAATGCAAATTAAAACCATAAGGGAGTATTTTACAGATATTATCACATACCCATTAGAATGACTAAAATTTAAAAGACTGACCACAGCAGGTGTTACAAAGATTGGGAGCAACTACAACTGTCATACAGGGCTGGTGGGAGTGTCCAGTCACTTTGCAAAACAGACGAAGAGCTTCCTGTAAATTTAAGCATATACCTAATTAGTGACCCAAGAATTCCACTTCTAGATGTTTATCCAAGAGAAGTGAAAAAGTAAGTCTACAAAAAAGATTCATGCATGAATGTTTATAGCAGCTTTCTTTATAATAGGGCCAAAATTGAAACAACACAAATGTACATCGGTGGGTAAATAAATAAATTGTTATATATTCATAAATGAAATAAACTCTGCAATTTAAAATGAACAAACTACTGTCACAAACAACAGCAAGGATGGATCTCAAAATCTTTATGCTGAGTGAAAGAAATAAGACACAAAGAGTATATACTATATGAGTCTATTTATATGAAATTCTAGAATAAGCAAAATTAATCTATCATATAGAAATCAGATCAATATTTGGAGAAAGATTGGCTGGGAAGGGGCATAAAGGAAATCTTCTGGGGTAGATGAAAATGTTCTATATGTATTGATTTGGGTGATGTTTACATGAATATAGAAAATTATCAAATTTATCAAATTTCAGGTAACACTGATCTACTCTGCTTAGCTCAAACTATTTTTTAAACATTTAGGGGTGCCTGGCTAGCAGGGTCGGTGGAGCATGCAACTCTTGATCTTAGGGTCATGAATTCAAGCCCCACATTGACTATAGAGATTACTAAAAAAAATAAAACACTTTAAAAAATTATTTTTTAAGTGTTTAATTGCAAACATTTCCACCTACTGATCCACTTCAAAACAAACTTAAAAAAAGATGTAAAAGAACTTCAGTGGAAGGGCGCCTGGGTGGCTCAGTCAAGCGTCTGCCTTCAGCTCAGGTCATGATCTTGGGGTCCTGGGATCGAGTCCCACATTGGGCTCCCTGCTCGGCTGGAAGCCTGCTTCTCCCTCTCCCACTCCCCCTGCTTGTGTTCCCTCTCTCGCTGTCTTTCTCTCTGTCAAATAAATAAATAAAATCTTAAAAAAAAAAAACAAAAAAAAACTTCAGTGGAAAAATCAGTGTACTTATCATTAATATGTAAATCAACAGTGGTTATTTTAAATATGCACATTAATACTCTTCTCCAACCATAAGTAATTTGTATTCTAAGAGAAACACAGGAAAAGCTTTGGGGCACAATTAAAGAACACTCATCTGTCAGAGGAAGAAGACTAGGGTCCTCTCCTGAGCTACTGTGGTGGGAATTGGCAGTCAGGTAGGATACACCCCCAAATTGACTTCTAAATCTAAGGTATCAGTGAGGAGTAAGGATCACGCAACCAGCTCATGATTAGAACTATCAAAATTAAGATCAGAAATGAAGCATGTGCATCAAAAAGGAATTAAGATAAGAAATGCAGGAGATCTGTGCCCAATGAAGGGCCAAGAGAAGAAATACCATTGGTCCTTCTTAGTAGAACAGACAGTATCATGATTTATTAGACTTATAAGCACAAACATGGTCATACTAAAGAATCGTAACCACCAGCAGAGAATGCTGAAGAACGCTGATTATCCTACTGTATTTACTGGTGTCTCCTTTTCTAACAGACTCAAGTTATCCTGTTTCCTCAAACTGTTTGTTTCTACTCAAAGTTTAGTCTTCCCTGATTGCAGGTCCAGAAAATACCCCAGAATATTTCCTTCTTTGCCACAAGACCATTTTAGAGACCTAAAATTATTGTCACTGTAACAGTAGGTGGCTACACAAAGTTTGGCATTGAATTATTTGTGACATATGTTATGCTATGATGAGCTATTTATTACTGAGAGCAATATATGAGACTACAGTGTGAGTGCTAATCAGTCTATAAACATTTTCTTTAGCTATGAATTCCCATTTGTAGGAAACATTTTTTTTTTTAAGGGCATGGATCATTAACATTTCAATACACCAAGCTTAGATCTGGCAACTTACAGAAATTTTTCAGAGGAAAGGCACACAATCCAAGTGACTGTTTTAATTACCTGCATAGGCCCAATTAATTTGTGGTGTATTTCAAGCTGAAACAAAGGCCCAGGAATGAGTCTTGCTGTCCCAGCCTAGCCAGAAGATTCTATGAAGCCTCTCCCTCAGTCATTCCAGGGAAGAAAGACAATAGGATGTAGTTGAGCCCTCAGGGGCTTGGCAGCCAAAAGAAGTAGAGA